GCTTACTGGAAAACCTTGAGGGTGGATACCTATTTTATAAAGGATTGACACTTGAAAAAAATCTTAATGTCTTAGGGGTGGACACTTATTTAATAAACGTGAGAAAGGGCGCATATCTAATAACCTAAAAACTGGATAGGTGCTTATACAAAAATGACATATTATATTCGTACATCAGTAGTCACGTGCAGAGTTTATCGTGGTTTTGAAGCTGAACTGCTTCACATGAAAATGTTATTAGAGCCCTTAATTACGTCATTAATAAACACGTGACGCTTTTCAACTTGTTACTGGGACCGAGGAACTTCTTCAATGATCAAACGGGACACTGAATTCCAGCCTGTGTAACCATTGGAATTCCCATATCCTGCACAATTTCCAATATTGATTCCAACTCGGATTTTGCCCTTGTGTATGTTGTTACAGTAGCCCTCAATGAACCCGGGTCTGTGGTTGTCTTCGTCTTTATTTCGGATCCACAGCACTGCGTCAATAGGCAGGGGACCACTGCACTCGGCTCCATTGAAAGTGATGAACCATCGCTTACAGCAGCTGCCACACCCTCCCAAATAGAGGTTTTCCTGGTAAACAACACGGAGGGCAGTGTCATCCTTGGTTTTATTGAACTGACAATCCTGCAACAACAAATTAGTTCTGAACAATTATTTTCAGGGAAATTGTCATTATCAGTAGCCCATCATACACCTTACATTTCGTTTAAATTACCTAATTTTATCCTATGCGGATATACCACTGCATGGACAACGTTCAACGATAACTAAAAGGTCTAAAAAGGCAGGTGAAGCACAGTGGCTGGGATGATATTTTCTTATGACGAGTATTTGTTATGCTAATTAAACTATAGCTTTGATCACAGATAAATCAACCAACCTTAATCAGTCCAATATCACGATCATCGTTAGTCTTCCACGCGCACTGTTTCCAGTTCCTGTGATCAGTATCTGTTCCACTTGCTCCCATTTCTCCCTTCTCACCACGTGGTCCAAAGGGACCTGCCACTCCCTTTTCACCTTTAGCACCGTCTCGGCCGTCGCGGCCTGGTGACCCGTTATGTCCATTGACTCCGTTACGTCCGGGGAGGCCAGGGGATCCTTGCAAGCACGTGTTTGGGTTCTGTGTGACATAAACGTTTATTAACTAAGAACGTGGAAGAGAAAACAATTCTTTGTAAAAAGGAGATAAAATTACAACAATCTGCCCTCAATGCACTCAAAGAATAGTGGAAAATAAATAAAGTGATGACTGCCATTGACCGTGATAGAGAATCGATCAAACCGTTGTTAAGATTTCGAAATTTCCAGTGGTCAGCGCATTTAATAAGCCCTCACACTGACATTAGCTTTAATGTTATTTTATTAATCGCGAGAATAACGTCCTTTGCGCACTTTTAGCGCCAGAGTCAATGGCAATTTATAACTAGATTTATTATGTTAAGTATCCAGTCGTCATTGTTTCGGCCACGAGATTGGAAAACCAGCTAGAGACACTGATTTCTCCGCTGCTTTCGACAAGCCGTTTTAATAGAAAAGATCTTATAACATAACTTTGTTTAATCTGCTAAAACACTTGCATCATTAATTATTCTAAAACATTAAACGAATGTGTATTTTTGTCGATTTGTACACAACTATTTGCAGTTCAACTTCTGGGAAATCTTACCTTAACAGAGAAGGCGTTAATTACGCTCTTCGAAGATACCAAAAGGCAAAATAGAAAGCAAACAGCAAAGGCATTTCTTCCTTTCATGTTAAGGCAAGTTGTGATCTGAGGAAAACGGCTATCAGGGTGTGAACTGCAGCAGAAGTCTTCACAATTTGGTTTGAGTGCAGCAAAAAAAGAGGATAATGTTCAATGTAAGTCAGAATTTTAACGAAAAGTTCCTTGTTGAGGCAAGAGAGAGATGCACTGAAACACTGCCACGTTTACTGATCTTTATAAACAGCATTTGCACCTTTTAAAGTACCAGTGAGTCAAGTGACTAGTCACCTGTGACTTGCTCCGGAAACTTCTTAATTCAGGCGGAATAATTATGTCATGCTGAAACGTTTACTCGCCCAAAAAAAGAGAGGAAGAAAGAAAAAAATAAACTATCTAATAGTGACGTGAGAAAGGCACTCCAAGTAGTCTCAAGGAGGCCCTGACTAAACAAAAGCAACTACGAACAGCGTACAATCCATTGCATGACTTGACGTTATCGTGTGTGATCACTCCACACTCATTGCTGTTATCGATTCTTGACGAGAGCTCTCTTACGTTTAATAGATCTATGGTACTCATACATGGGTTCGTTTAGCAGACTTCTGAACCGAATTTGCATGATCCATACTCGATAAGCAAACGAATAGTGAAAGTAACATGCGATATATGAGCACGCGGCCATTGGTCAAACGAGCTTGATAGTCTTAGAATCAAGAAACAGGCCCTAAACACACTTTTAACATAACGAAACACTCTAGCTCTTGCGCAAAAATATCACTCATCATTACGTTAATAAAAATACAGGGTGTCCCAATAGTTCGTTCCTCTACTTTATAAGTCTGTAACGCAGTACGATTGGACTTGATCAGCACATTATTTAAACCAAAGTTGTGACTTTCAATATAATTTTATATTTCATACTTCTTGTGCCATCTTTTGACTCGAAATTCGATTTGTGTAATTTCGCGCCAAAGGTGAGCTGCCCTAGTAAATTTTCCCGCCATATATTTTTTGCATTTTGTAGCCCGAAATACTCGTACTCCTAACTTGTTTTGTGTGAATATCCAGAAAGATTAAACCCTCTCAACGAAAAAACACTCAGCTACGTGCGAGCAGAAGCATGTATTTCTATCTACTAGCTTATCAGTTAAACAAATTTCTAAAAAAATGGAAAAATCCGAATGTTGGGTGGTAAGATGGTCATAGTGAAACGAAGGTTTTACAGACAAGAATCGAGGGGTAAGACCGAAAGTCCTGAATAAAACCGCTAAAATAGTTTTAAAGAAAACCATGTACAAAACAGGAAACCCAACGAGGTAGCTCTTACAACAGCTAGTTAGCAAGTTAAGTCTGGAGCAGGTTCATGAAGAGCAAAGGTTGGAGACCCCTGAGATGGCAAAAAAACTTTACTCCCGGCCAGGGCCGTCTGCCAAGTAACGTTCAGCTAGTCTCAAATTTGTAAAGAAGAACAAAAGCCTTACTGTGGAAAGGGGACGGAATGATTATCTTTTCTTGGATCAATACCCAAAATATATTGTTTCAGCTGCCTTATCTAAGAAATTATATTGTTTGGGGGTCGAAGTGACTCCTGCATACTAGGTGATAAAAAAGCTCAAAATGAATCATCTAGGGCTCTACATGCTACATGGCTTATCTCACTTAATGCCGCAACGGCTACAGAGTGTGATAAGAAAAAAAAGGGGGAATGCCGGTAACTGAACTTCTGAACACAAGTACTCGATAGAGTAAGAAACATATTTTAGAAATTTCATGTAAAAATTCAGTTTTGATTAAAAGTTATAGCGCATGAAATTAGAGGAACGAACTTTTGGGACACCCTGAAAGTTTCATTAAATGAAACTTATGTTTATCAATGTATTGATGAATGAAAAAAATTAATAATTAAATTAAAATTTAATGAAAAATTAAAATTAATTAAAATTTCATTTTAATTAATTTAATTAAAATTAAAATTATAAATTTTATAAATGAAAAAGTGTAAACTGTGACTCACTGGTAAGAAAACTCCAAGAATTCTACTAAGTAGTCCAAAGATTTCCTAAGATATCTGTGATTGTCAACTTTATAGGGATTTGCGGGGCTCACAGAATATTACCGTTCTTGTGTGTGAACAGAACCCCTATCCGAAATGGTTTTCGTGCCGGTGCAAAAGCTATACGGTATAATTGCCCCCGCAGGGATTTCGTCCAGACCCGCAGCGAAATCCCGAGGAGGCACTGTACTTACAGTTGAAATATACAGTCAGTATGCCAGAAAAAATCTCGACTTGCTTGAACAGGGGCCGCGAGGAATCTTTAGGTAATGATGACGTTTCTATTGTTTGCGCCCGCAAGTACGAAATGGCTAGGATGACGTAAAGACCGAAAATCCTGAACGGACCGCTATTTATTTCACCTATTGTATGGAATACGTGTGAAAATCTTCATTATGAATCGGTATATTTCAAAGAGCTACACAACGAGCAAGAATACTATTGACCGACAATATACAGAGCGGGGGCAGCTGTAGTGTCAACTATTACTAGTTATAGTGTGATTGTAGCCTATTTTATAAATGACCCTGAAAGGTACCGGGGACACACAGCGACCGAATATCTCCAACTACGTCAGACGTCACGGTCTCTTCAAATGGTTTCCTATAAGTAGGCTTTAGAGGCCTGTTTGCGGCTAATTTAGAGCTGCCCTGAAAACTTTTTAACTGTTTGTGTGTCTTAGAGTAGCCTTAATTTCATTAGAAGATCCTGGGGGAAATTTTTGCCTTAACTTTCAGCAGAGGCAAATGCCTCTAAATTGCAATCATCTTTGCAGTAGTCTTTGGACTTCTCGTTTTTGGTTCTTAATATTCTAGCTGATTAGATCTCTTTTCTAGAGATCCAACGTTTAGGACCAGCGGGATCTTTGTCCACGGTTTTTGCAGTTTATTTAATTCCTCTAACGTGCGCACGCACAAGCCCTTCCATGCTTGAATTGAAAAGGATGCCCTTGAATTCAAATCTCAAAATGCAAATTTTGTAAGCCCATAAGAGGTGTGTTGTCAGTTGGTGACTCAATCTTTCAAGAAATTGCTCAAAATAAAACCAGGAGTTTATCAAGAGGCATGTGGATACATCAGTATTTGACGTGCTTATTTTATTAAGGGTTTCCGGGACTGACCTGTTTTACTTCATAATGTTACAAAACGTCCTTATGTCTTCTATTAATTTAATACTAATCCGCAGTATTTGTCAGCAATAATACTAACTTAATCATGGTTTTAGCTTGTTACTGGGAGCGAGGAACTTCTTCAATGATCAAACGGGACACTGAATTCCAGCCTGTGTAACCATTGGAGTTTCCATATCCTGCACAGTTTCCAATGTTGATTCCAACTCGGATTTTGCCCTTGTGTATGTTGTTACAGTAGCCCTCAATGAACCCGGGTCTGTGGTTGTTTTCACCAGTATTTGGGATCCACAGCACCGCGTCAATAGGCAAGGGACCACTGCACTCGGCGCTATTGAAAGTGATGAACCATCGCTTATAGCAGTTGTTACAACCTCCCAAATAGAGGTTTCCCTGGTAAACAACTAGGAGGGCAGTGTCATCCTTGGTTTTAATGAACTGACAATCCTGCAAGAACAAATAAAAAACCCAGTGAATCAGCAACTTTCAAGAATATGCCATCCTGTGTAAATGCACAACCTTAGTATCTAAAAAAAACATATTTGACTATGGCCAGTAATCGCAGTAATTTTAAAAGCAACCAGCCTTGATCAGTCCAATGTCACGGCCGTCGTTGTTCTTCCTCGCACATTGTTTCCAGTTCCTGTGATCAGTGTCTGTTCCACTTGGTCCCATTTCTCCCTTCATACCACGTGATCCAGAGGGACCTGCCGCACCCCTTTCACCTTTAGCACCATCTCGTCCGTCGCGGCCTGGTAACCCGTTATGTCCATTTACTCCATTACGTCCTGGGAGGCCAGGGGATCCGCGCAAGCACGTGTTAGAGTTCTGTGTGATAACAGTTTAAAGAAATTAGAGGAGAAAACATTTCGGGATAACTAAAGGTCGTAAAATATTAACTGAATTTTCTTTCAGTAAGAGTGGTTCTTTATTTTTATTTTTCACTCACGAAAAATGATATACAAATTGATGAGTATCATGCATTAATCATGCATTTGACCATAAGCATATATGTAATCTTTCTTCCGATGAGGCACAAAATTGATCACGCCTTATGAAGATCCTCGAGGAGTGCATGTTTAATAAACCTTTACGTGGACAAGCTCTGAGCCGTAGAATGATGCTTTTAGTTGCCAGAATTGTGACCTCTGTCTGCCCATGTGGCAAGAGCGACAACTGTTATTTAAAATTTAGACTTATTAGTTTCTAGAAACGAATCTTTTCAAAATTTAGAGAACCTAAAGAGCACGCCTGCAATATTTATGATGTTATGAAGTTCATATAATATTTTAAGAATAAATATGAACCCAGCTTTGGAAAATTTCTCCGCTGCTTTCGATAATTATACGTGCATTGTTCACAGCTCTTTTGATCTATATAACTTTGTTTTCTCCACTAAACAGCTAAAACTCTTACAAACTACAAACTTGAACAAACTATGAAATCTAATGTATTTGTAATAATTTTGGCGTTGTTTATTGCGAAAAAAATGCTAGTCCCAGTAAGAAAGTCCTACCTTGGCGACAGAAGAGGCGTTATCAACTGCGCATTACGAATATATCAACAGGTAAAACAGAAAACAAACAGCAACATTTCTTCCTTCCATGGACAGAAATACGTTGAAGGCTGGGAAATCAAGCATCAAACTTCTGCAGAAGTCTTGGTTTACTGTTTCAAGTGCTGTCAATGATAAGGATAAAACTAACAGCTGTTTGAATTAATTTTAACGAACATTTTCTTGTTGGATGAAGACAAAGGTAGGCTTTGACAGACCATTTACTAACTTTGAAAAATAACTGAAGGGACAGACGTATGAAAGGTAAGTTGATTCATTGAATTGGAAAAGATCTTTGAATGACAGACTGTTCTCGATTAATTAAAGATCGAAACCTTATAGTTATAGTATATGGAATACTCCTGTATCTTAAAAGTTACTGAAGGATAATATTTGTCAGTGGCAAGTTGATTTTTTTACTGATGTAAACTTTAGGATTGTTTATTTAATCCTTCAATTTAGCAAAACTGATCAGATCAGTCACTTTTACTCTCGGGTCGGGAACTGAGAAAACGTCTAAATCGCGGTAGCCGAGAGGTCATCTACCACTTGAGGATGACATCGAATGACAGTTCGAAACAGGCGGATAACCAGGCCTATCGGCGATTTAGACTTCCTGTCCGCTTTGTTGCTTCGCAGCTCAGTTTGTGGCGGTTTCATTTATTTATCTGTCAAGGTACTTGACATGTCGTGATTATTCATTCACACTCAAACGTGAAAAAACAGTATTCTTTGGACACTTTCTATTCGGTAGCTTGAACTGTGAGATTAGTTATTGACTGATCATATGTGATACCAGTTGTATCCCCCCCTCACAAACTCGTTGAAATTCCTTTGAGGGCTGTCCAAATCTCGTTCGATTACCAGGTTTTTCTCCTACCCGCCCCACACCGAGCAGGGACGAAATATCTATTTCAGAAGAATGTCCTTAAGAATACGCCGCGGAGACACTTTAGTCAGGCCCAGTGGACGTATTTTGGCTTTAGTTTTCGAAGAAGCTCCTGTGACCTCGTTATCAGAACGATGAATATCCTTTTAAAGGGATAAATATCATCATAAATTTACTTTTTGTTACTAGTTGTCGAAAAAAAGGAACTGTAGCCTGCTCTACCAAATGAAGGACTGCGATCACCATAATGTCAGCTTTCCAATAAAACCAAATTTTTGCTCTAGTGTCATTTCCTCGGGGGCATGCTTTCTTTAGTTAATGGATGGTATACGAGTTGCGTTTTGAAACCCCTGACAAATTTAATAATAATAATAATAATAACTTTATTTGTATAGCGGTATATACAAAAGCTCTATATCGCTTTACAATCAAAAAAAAGAAAATTACTAACTAACAATAGCACTAAAACAAAACGTCAATTGAAAGCGAGTCCAAAAAGATAAGTTTTCAATCTAGATTTAAAAACATCAACTGATCCACTTAAATTAATGTGTAAGGGAATATCATTCCAGTGCTTTGGGGCAGCGACCGAAAAGGCCCTGTCCCCATAGCTCTTCAGGCGCACATTCGGTACTTCTAATAAATGTTTGCTAGCTGACCTAAGATTTCTTGTAGGGTTATATGGGACTATAAGTTGACTTAAATACGGAGGCGCCAGATTATTGAGAGCTTTAAAAGTTAACAGTAATACTTTAAAGGTAATTCGCTGCTCCACAGGTAACCAGTGTAGGATGGGGCGAATGTGCGCAGCCCTAGGTTGCCCAGCTACAAGGCGTGCAGCGCAGTTTTGAACGCGCTGGAGCTTCTGAATAATATACTCCGGTGACCCGAGGAGCAACGAGTTAAAATTGTCCAGTCGACAAAACATAAGCATGGACGAGGGTCTTTAAATTCCGGAAACTAATACGATTAATCCCCAACCCCTCGCTTTAAAATTTCTTGATTTTCAGTTTTAAAAATGCCAAAACGAAATGTAAAACCGCCAAATTTCTCAATTCTGTTGTAGTACATTTTAAGTATTTTGTTTCGCATACTAAACTTTAAGTGGGAACGGACCTTCCAGCTACTTATACGCATAGAGAAATTCGTTTCCCTTGAAAACAACACAATACATTTTCAACTTGTGTTACAAGCAATCCTGCTTCTCTTTGATCTCAAATCAAAATTTTAATTTTCTGCAAACGAAAGTTGAAACCCATTTAGTCAGTCGATTTCATTCATCCGTCAATCTGTACATAAAACCATGTTTTACTCAGCCATGACATCAGATGATATAGCCTGCGGAAGCCAGGACGCCTTTTTCTTTTTTTGTGCTCTCGCACCCGGCGGGGTACTCCCTTATCTAAGCCATATAGGTACGTGTCTCCCCAAAGGGTATGTTTTTTTTTGCGCCGTTTATGTCTTCAAACGGGTTAGTAGACTTTGCTCGTTTGGTATGAAATCGGGTATGGTTTTCGAGGGAACTACGGGAGCGTATGAGCGTATTTGTCGCTTCAATCCCAAAAAAGAAAGAAAGAGTAATATGCGAATTCGAAATGGATTAAAAGACATATGAAATCATTTCATATGAAACGTACATCGGGCTTACTGCGAACGACTTCAAAACAAGATACAGCAACCACATGTCATCATTCCGTCACGCAAAGAACAGAAACTCCACTGAACTCAGCAAACACGTCTGGACTCTTAAAGAAAACAACATCAACTACTCTATCGCCTGGCGCATTCTATCTTCACACCTGCCGTACAACAGCTCAAGCAAACGATGCAACTTATGTCTTAAAGAAAAATTCCTTATCATCTGCCGACCTGAACTCTCTACACTTAACAAACGTAATGAACTCGTGTCTTCCTGCCGCCACAGAAACAAAGCCCTCTTGCGCAACAACTGATGTAACGAACCTCGCACTGAATAAATTATGTAAATCAGTCTAGTATATAAGTAATGGTAAAGTTATTCTCATTAAAATCCCCTGATGAGTGGGCAACCACGAAACAGGCTTGTAGGGATACTTATGTAGTTACTTGTTTTCTTCCGTCAACCATACGTATACTCGCTCTACTTTATGTATTGAGCACTGTTTTACGGATTTCAAGTTCAAACCTCTTATGAAATCATTTCATATGTCTTTAATCCAATTTCAAAGAGTCTTTGGTAACATATATGACATATTTTCTGCCGACGCAAGGTCTGAAAACGGGTCGGTGGAAAATGACGTTTCAGTGGTCTGAAATAGCGTCAGGATTTAGAGAATTGGGCGACAAACCCCATTAAAGGTTCTTGTAGCCCCCAGGCTAGATATGGTATGGTATACTTAATGATTAATAATATATAGATTTAGCCAGGGCTAAAAGCGAAGCTCCCATTAATAAATTTATATTTTAAATCAAACAATAAACTTGTAATCCACAAATCAGTTAACTTACGGGCACATTCATGGGACTTTTGAGGGAAAGGATAAGTTATTTTAGAGTGAAACATCTTAAATCGAGTTGATAGCCTAAATATATGTACACCCAAAAAATAGCAAACATCTTCTATCACATTCAAGAGCCTCTTGATCACAGTAGATTAGGCCTCGAAAACAAATTCTTGGAAAAAACATCAGGCAGCATTTTTTTGCGTTCGACAGGTTTACTTTACAAATTCTTGCCAACAAATCTGAGGGTGTGTAAACCAACCTTTTATACTTTTTATACATCACATCTGAGGTGAAACGGTACTTTTTATCATACAGACCTCGGGCAGAATACGGCATTTCACAATTTTTCAATGTTCAGGACGATCAATCGTGGGCTTTTAGCGAAACCGTTCAAAAAATTTCCAAATCACCCATACGGCCAGCCGGTTCTCATTTTTAGAGCGAGCTGTCAGTGTGGTCGAGTGTTAATGGAGATACGCTTCAACATAATAACGAATTTATTATCATTATTTTTTGTTATTTAATGGTTCCAGTTATAACGATGTGTAATCTTATAAAGCGTTTGATACGCGCGACGTTTCTAAGTACTCCTGCAAGCGATGTTCATGAACAATGAAAACAAACACCACGGACAAGCGATTAAAATTGCAAGAGAGACTACTAACAATCAATAAAAGAAATATAATTCGGTAAAACATTTACTGAGACAACAATTTTCATTCACGAAGACAAGTATTAAAGTGTCTCTAAAAATCCTGAGTCTTTAAGCTTAAAGCTTAAGCTTAAGTTTATTTTGTTTTACTTTCAGCCGGCCTCCCGGTGTTTGTTTTTTTTCAAAGATGAACT